AAACGAGAAAGCAATTTCATTTCCATTTCCTGAAATTACTTCCAGGGCTGTCTGATCTCATAAATCAAAAGACAAGATAGATGCCCACTTACATTTGGATTTCATATAAACAACAAATCCAGTTTTCAGTGTCAGTGTGCAATATTAGATGTCTTTGAATGATGGTGTTGGTGAGGAATATTAAAAGCACCATGGATCGCCAGAACAACAAATAAATCTCAAAGAAGTATAGCCAGGATGCTCCTGATAAGCAAGAACATGTTGTCTTTGGACATGTGGTTAGGAAGGATTGAAGACCCTGGTGAAGGACATGATGCTTGGTAAAGTAGAGGGTCGACGAAAAAGAGGAAGCCCCTTGAGTGAGCTGAATAGGCACAGTGGCTGCAACCATGGGCTTGAGTGTAACAACCTGGTGAGGAGGGCGCAGAACCAGGCAGTAAATCGGGTCACTATGAGTCAGAACTGACGACACCTAACAACAACAACATCAAATATTATACGGTACATACTTATACTGAAAGAAGATGATCCACAGCTTATCTGAAACTCAACGGTAGGTAGCCATCCTGTGTTTTGATACGCTGTCTTAGTGGTACCTCAGGAACAGAAGTTAACTGTCTCAGGTTCTGGAACATAGACATGGATTCCTTCCTCACTTCAGGTGGTGGACAGCCATCCTTGTAGAGGCATCTTCATGTGGCATTGGTCTTCCCCTGCATGTATGGCCTACTTCTGTGTCTATCTCTCCTTGACGGGACACCACTCAGCAGTCTCTAGAACACACCCTACTTAATGGTGGCATTTTCAGAGACCTTCTTCCTGATCGAGTTCCCACTCACAGGTACAGGGTGAGGACCTCGGCGCCTCACTGTGCTGACTCTACATTGTCCTGTTGCCCCTTGCATGCTCCCTCACATTGGGAACCACACAGCTGCAAAGTATCCCTGCTCTCTCTGGGAGGAAGAGGGCAAAGCCACCAGGGACATACACTTCTTACCTTTCCACGGGTCCCCTTCTTGCAGGCTGTTCTGGGTATGGGACGGTGCCCCGGATGTGGGGGGTGGATGCAGAAGAAGGCAGTATCTCTGGCGCTTGTGCAGGAAGCTGCAGTGTGGAGAGGGTGTCTTGTGTGCCTTCCTGTGAGTCCCTGGTCAACTGGATTGTGTCTTGTGATGCCTGGGCCTTATCTTGGCATCACAGTCTTTCTAGTGCCCCGTGACTTGAGGAGGTTGATGACTTTCCAGCGCTGATGAATGTGCCTGTGCTTTCTCTAGGGGACTTGGCTCTGTCCATCTATCTGGGACATGCTCTAGGATCCTTTTAAGGATCCACCTATGGAGTCCTCAGGACTGATTCGAGCCCTCCCACCTCTTCCTGTTTCTGTCCACGAAGTGTCTATGCTCACTCTCATCTCACCTGCCTACATACATCCCTGAAAAGGTACCAGAGAGAGAGAGAGAGAGAGCAAGCTCCTTCCAGGAAGGTTATCCTGCCTCTAGTGTGCAAGTACATGCATATGTGAATGTGTGTACACATGTGCATATGTGTGCAACTGTGTGTGCGTGTGTGAGTGTGTGCATCCATGTGCATGTTAGAGCAGTGTGACTGTGCAACGGTGTGTGTGTGCATGTGTGTGATGGTGTGCATGTATGTGTGTGTTAGAGCAGTGTGAGTAAGCAGGGGTGTGTGCATGTGAAAGTGTGCATACATGTGCATGTTAGAACAGTGTGAGTATGCAGCGGTGTGTACATGTGAAGCCATGCATACATGTGCAAGTTAGAAGAGTGTGAGTGTGCAATTGTGTGCCTGTATGAAGGTGTGCATACATGTGTGTGTTAGAGCAGTGTGAGTATGCCGTAGTGTGTGCATGTGTGAGGGTGTGCATGTATGTGCATGTTAGAACAGTGTGAGTGCACAACAGTGTGCTCACATGCTCATGTGTGAGCAAGTATCCAACTGCACATGAATGTGTGAGCAAGTGTGTGACTGTGTGTGCAACTGTGTTCATGTGTGCTTGTGTGATCTAGTGTGCAGCTATGTGTGCATGCATCATACATGTACATATAGGACCACATGCTCATATGCATGTACATGTGTGCATATGCAACTATGCATGTGGACATGTGGATATATGTGTATTCATGAGCAAGTGTGTAACTATGTGTGCATGCAAATGTGCTTACGGGGACGACTGTGCATGCACAAGTGTGCAAATATGCATGGATTGTGTGCAACTTTGTATGTTGTGAGTGTGCAAGTATGTGCATTTGCGAGCAAATGTGCCACTATGCATGTGTGCGTGACTGTGTCTGAGTTGAGTTTGTGCATTAATGTGGTGTGTGGTGTGTGCATGCCTGGTTGTGTGTGTTTATGTGAGTGTGGGTGTGTACACGTTACTGTGTGTATGTGTGTGAGTTGAGTTTGTACATGTGTGTGTATGCGTGCCTGGGTGTGCATGTGGGTATCTACACTACATGTGACAACAGACATGAGTTTCAGAATATTCCTCATGCCCCTGAAAGTGAAAGCATTCTAAGGGGGACTCTAGACTGCAGTTCACACAGGGTGGAGTGGGTGACTGGCCACTCCACATTCTGCCCTGTGTTGCAGTGTTCTGTGTCCCGAACTACCTCTTTTAAAAGGCCACCGTGCCTGGAATCTCCTTTCTGGTGCTAAGGGAAGACACCCTGGCACTGTCCTGACCCAGCTGCTCACAGAGGAACTGTCTCTGAAGCACAGACATGCATTCTTGCCCTGAAATATCTACTCAGAAGATTGGGCCCAAATGTTGTTGAGAAGCTTCATACTCGAAAGAATGCTGACTGGAATTAAACACACAATCCCTTCACCATAACACTTCCATACACAAACATGTTGAAAACCTGAAATAACCAAGGATTTGATATCTCTGCAGAGTGGGTGGTCTATGTATAAATGTTGATGAGCATTAAATTAGCTTTGGAAACAGTGCTCTCACACTGTAAGCCCATTTGGGACTGACACAGTAGCAGCTCTGAGCTGACGTTGCTGAGTGACATACTGTATCTGGAAGAACAGCCACATGACCAGAAATAAGTCCCACACCAATGGCCTTCTAGGAATCTGGAGTTCCTGATGCTGTTGTTGGGAATTAGAAACTCACTGTAACCTCCTGTACTGGCCCCAATGCCCAGTCCAACATCAACCCCATTTCAGACTCTTAGCAGGATCTTCCTTTCAAAAACAGGTTGGGTGCAATGTGCAGAACCAGCAAGCCACTGAGTTCCAGACAGCAGGGGCATGTGAGCAGATAGCCACCTCTGTCACCAAGCACACACCTATACAGACCCATGGGAAACATCTGTGCAGACCTGTGGGGAACATCTGTGCAAACCAGTGTGGACCATAGGTACAGACCCATACAGAACATCTGTACAGACCCGTGTGGAACATCTATACAGACCTGTGGGGAACATCTGTGCAGACCCGTGGGGAACATCAGTACAGACCTGTGGGGAACATCTGTGCAGACCCGTGGGGAACATCAGTACAGACCTGTGGAGGAACATCTGTACAGACCTGTGGAGGAACATCTGTACAGACCCGTGGGGAACATCTGTACAGACCTGTGGAGGAACATCTGTACAGACCCGTG